ACCCAGGCCCACAGGGGCGGGGGGAGGATGGGAAGGGATGGGAAGGGGAAACAAAGGAGGAGGCTACAATGCTTGATAAGAAATGTACTTATTATCTTGCCCATATAATTGTAACCCCTCTGTAGAGTATTTTCACAATAAAAATAAAAATTTAAAAAAAAACAGGCCCTGAGTTCAAGCCCCCCAACTGACAAAAAAATAAAAATAAATCTCCCTTCAACATTCCTCTTGAATGGCTGTTGAATCCTGTGTTACACAAGAACTTTGGACAGTACAGGTGGGTTTTTTTGTGTTTTTTTTCCAAAGTCCCCGGGAGCTAACAGGAAACTCATTTGTTATTTTTTTTTGAGGACAGAGTATATTGCCCAAGTTAAGGTCAAAAGTAGTGTTGGCAAGCATACCTGGCCCAAAGAGGACTGGGCACTACAAGGCTAGTTGGGTGCTGATCCCTCTGGGAAGACTTAAAAGACTGCAGGATAATCAGGAATAAGTCTGTGAGATTCTTTTTTTTTTTTTGGTTGATTATGGGGCTTGAACTCTGGGCCTGGGTGCTGCCCTGAGCTCTTCTCAAGGCTAGCACTCTACCACTTGAGGCATAGCACCACTTCTGGTTTTCTGGTGGTTCTTTGGAGATAAGGGTCTCATGGACCTTCCTGCCCAGGCTGGCTTTGAACCTCCATCCCCAGATCTCAGCCTCCTGAGTAGGTAGGATTACAGGCACGAGCCACTGGCGCCCGGCTGTGAGACTCTTATCTCTAATTAACCACCAAAAAAGCTGGATGTGAATCTATGACTCAATTTGCTAGAGTGCCAGCCTTGAGCAAAAAATAGACCAAGGGAGAGTTCCGGCCCTGAGTTCAAGCCCTTATACTAGCAAAAGCAAACAAAAAATGCTAGTGCTCCTTCCACCTTGACGCACTGACAATGTCTTTGGAGGTATTCCTTCCATCTGTGAAATGATGGGGACACATACATCTCAGGGGTGTCTTTTGAGCACTTACTTAGCATTCTCCGTAACAAAAGGAAACTAAAAGGTGAGAACTATACTGAATCCTTTGAACTCCTGGGCACTTGGTCTATACTTGTCTATCAGTGCATTGGTCTCCCTGGGGTATCTACTGTTTGTTTGACTTAGCTCAAGAGGAAAATTGGGGTCTTTTAATCTCCAATTTACCTACAAAGGCTCAGCGATACAGTGAGATCTCTCAGTGTATAACTAATGCAAACTAATAATAAAAATTTAAAACTTGTGTGTGTGTGTGTGCTGGTCCTGGGGCTTGAACTCAGGACCTGGGCACTGCCCCTGAGCTGCTTTTGCTCAAAACTAGCATTCTACCACTTGAGCCACTGTACCACTTCTGGCTTTTATTTATTTATTTATTTGGGGGGGGTCCAGTCGTGGGGCCTGAACTCTGGGCCTCAGCTCTTCAGCTCAAGGCTAGCGCTCTACCACTTGAGTCACAGCACCACTTCCGGCTTTTTTCTTTTTGCTTATATGGTGCTGAGGAATCAAACCCAGGGCCTCAGGCATGCAAGGCAAGCGCTCTACCACTGAGCCACCCTCCCAGCCCATGGCTTTTATTTATTTATTTTTTAGTGGTTAATTGGACATAAGAGTCTCACAAACTTTCCTGCCTGGGCTGGCTTTGAACTGCCATCCTCAGATCTCAGCCTCCTGGGTAGCCTATCAATACTAATTTTTTTTAAAGAAGGCTCAGAACTCAAATAGAAGCAGGGAATGAAAGAATTCTAGTTTGTACTCCTTAGTACCCATCAAGACCCCCATCCTCCGCCTGCACCACCCTGATCTACACACTGGTATTCCCACGGCTGTCTCCACTTTGAGTCCCTGGGCTCTGCTGTGTCTGTCTCTGCTTTGAAGCCCTCTGAGCCTGTCCTCAAGCTCTCAGACAGCTCTCTGTCCTCCTGTGTCTCTCCCAGTGCAGCTGTCACATTGCCATCTCTGCCTCCCCCCTCCCACTGTCTAAAGACAAAAGGCTAACCTATCCATAACCATGGCCACGAGGAGAGCTGAGCCAAGTGAGAGCAGAAAGATAGCAGGATGTGGTGAGTGGGGAGCTCCGCGGCCCCCAAGACGCCCCTCACCAGCCACGTGTTCTTCCAGGAGCAGGAAGCCACCCACCACCATGAGCAGCACTCTGTCGCCCACAGACTTCGACAGCTTGGAGATCCAGGGCCAGTACAGTGACATCAACAACCGCTGGGACCTGCCCGACTCCGACTGGGACAATGACAGCAGCTCAGCTCGCCTCTTCGAGAGGTCTCGAATTAAGGCTCTGGCAGGTGAGGTCCGGGAGAACCGAGGAGGTGCGGAGGTGGGTGTGTAGAGTCTTTTATCTTTATGGGGAGACAACTGTCTTGTCTAAGCTGCTGGACTGAAGTGGGAGAGCCTGAGCACCCTGTCAAGCCCTTTGGTCCCCAATCCGGTGCAGGAACAAACTTCACACAATACCAGGCATTTCCTAACCTCCCTTCCCCCAAAGCCTACTGTGCCAGCTGAGCTGACCCCTGGACTGGCCCTGCTGGCTGAATCGGCTTCCCTTCCTGACCCGGGCCCTGAGTCACATCCCTTCTCCTCTACACTCTGACTGTCGCTTCTGTCTCCACCCACCTCTGCCTCACCTTTCCTCCCCTGGTGTCTTCCTTGATGTCCACGATCAGTTCCCACACCTGTTCTGCTCCACCTGCCGTCTGTTACTCTCATTATTGTATCTCCCTGTTCCCCGAAGCAGGATCTCTGCCTGCTACCCCATCGTAGTCCAAAGCCACCCATTCATTCTCCAGAATTTACTCTCCACCCACCTTGGCCCCTGCCCTTCCCTGCGGCCAGGGCTCTCCCCTTCTAGGCACAAACAAACCCGTCTGACGGCCTCCCTGTGTTCAGGGGGAGGGGTTGTCATGGCAACAAGAGAAGGGTTGCCACCTGACACCACCAGCGGCTGCTGGCATGGGGCTGAATCACACACCCCTTGGCCACCCACCCTGTCTGACTGGCCGCCTCCATCCCACCCTTGTCATCACCACTGACCTGCCTGCTGCCCAACCCAGTTGAGTGTAAGAGGTCATAACTCCTCCCACCTGAGAGGTAGTGCTCCTTGTGGGGTGGCACCCACAGTGGAAGCCCAGGTCCCCAAACCTGGTGGCATGTTTTACCCAGCGACAGTTTTTATAAAAATAGCTTCCCAAGTCCCTCCCCTGGGCACAGTGAATTTGAATCTCTAGACATATGGTCCAGAACTCAGGGTTTAAAAAAGCTCCCGAGGAAATTCTCAACGAGCCCAGCAGCAATCTGGAGCAATGGCAGCTGCAGCTTCTGAGGATCCTGGATCCTTCTTCAGATGGGTTCTTTGTGTGTGTGGGGGTCGGGGGTGGGGGGTCCTGGGGCCTGAACTCAAGGCTTGGACAGTCCCTGAGCTTTCTTTGCTCAAGGCTAGTGTTCTACCATTTAAGCCACAGCTCCACTTCTGGCTTTTTGGTGGCTAATGGGCGATAAGGATCTTTCCTAGCCAGTCTGCCTTCAATGTTGAGATCTCAGCCTCCTGAGTAGCTAGGATTATAGGTATGAGCCACTGGTGCCTGGTTCAGATGGGTTGCTCCTCCTCCTCTCCCCCCCCCCTCGTCCTCCTCCTCTTCTTTTTTGGACAGTTGTGGGCTGGAACTCTGGGTCTGGGCACTGTCTCTGAGTTCTTCAGCTCAAGGCGAGTGCTCTACCCCTTGAGCCACAGCGTCACTTCATTTTCTGGTAGTTAATTAGAGATATGAGTCTCACAGGTTTTCCTGCCCTGGGCTGGCTTTGGACCACAATCCTCAGATCTCAACCTCCTGAGTAGCTAGGATTACAGGTGTGAGCCACCAGCACCAGGCTCAGATGGGTTCTTGAGACTGGCTGGTGAACTATTCCTGTTTCTAGACTAGAGCTCAGAGAGGACAAAAGACATGAGGGATGGAGAATGTCAGTGATATGTTTGGAAAACATCTCTCTGGTACCCCAGTTTTAGATTCACATGTCCTCTAGAACTGCCATGATAGCCATGCCATTGTATTTTACCTGTTACACACCCTGAGTGGGTCTATAATGACACATAGTCCAGGACTTTCACTCTCTGGGCACAGGACACACATGTGGTCATGACATCTTTGCACATAAGCCAGTACTGGTACTGGTGTCATATCTGTGCATGTGATGTGTTCCACTCAACATTGTCCTCAGTGTGCACACAGACCCATGCCACCAGGCTCGTCACTGAGCACACAGGTGCCACCCAGTGCTCAGCTATGTCTCTCCACCTCTAAGCTGGGTCTCACCAAATCAGAGCTCTGCATGGGCTTTGCCTTGTGTCAGAAGATGCCAAGCAAATACTAAATGAATGAAATTGAGGGAGGGGTATGTGTAGACTGCCAGCTATAAAAGCAGAAGCCTAGGGGAAGGGCAGAGGGGAAGCTGGTAGTTTGTGCCCAAGCAGTGGGGCAGAGCTGGGAAGCTGGCTGAGAAGGCCCTGGTGGGCAGGAGAGGGGCTGGCATTCAGATAACAAATACCAATGGAGAAGACACCAGCAATACTTATTCCTTCCCCAGAGGAGGTGACAAAAGTGAACAGCACAGCACTTGGCTTCCATTCTCCTAGGAGCTCCTCGTTTCTTTTTCTCAGCTCTCTGGGCAGAGATCAAAGCCCAGGAGTCCTAGACAGGGACTACTCAAGTGGCGGGGAGCTCAGCCTCCTTGTCTGTCAGCAGACCTTCAGGAAGCAGGAATTTGCTTGAGGGGGGAGGGGGGGCCTCTGGCGGGTCTTCCCCAGTCTTAGGCAACCTGTGGCCTGCCTGGCAAGTCTCCTGGCCCTGGCAGCTCTCTCCTCCGCCCCTGCAGGGCCTGGCCCTGCCCCAGCCCAGCTCCGCCCCCTGCCCCTCCCCCGACACTGTCCGACCTGTTTGTCTGGAGCTGCCTCTCTCCCTGTGGCCAGGTGTGCCTGCTCGCTGTTCTCTGGAGCTAGAAATCCCATAACTATTTTTTCCTACTTGAAACTCACAGCATCCTTGAAATCCTCTTGGCCATAGCAGCCTCTGGGGACCTCCAACACAGGCTCAGGGGACAGACGCTCACCACCCCGCCCTGCCGTGCGCAGGGGAGCATGGACTCTGGGCCACGAGCTGTGTAGGAGGCAGCAGGCACCATGAGTGCGAATGGAGTGAGCAGGGTGCATGGGAACGGCCTGAATGGGGCTGAGGAGTTTTACTATGAGGCGGTGGAAGGGGCCCAGAACCCCGGGGGGCTCCTGCTCTCCCCAGCTGCCTTCATCAACCCCGCTCAGTACGCCAGCGTGCTGGAAGGACGCTTCAAACAGCTTCAAGGTGAGGTCCCCTGGGCAAAGGGGAGCCCTGGGGAGCTGGAGGGGAGCTGCAGGGGCCAGAGGGTCTGCCGGGGCTCAGAAGCTAGAGCCAAGCACCTGACTTGGGGGACAATATTACGAGACTTGGGAGGAATCATGTCAAATGGCCAGAAAGTCCAGGAATGTGGACAGAAGCAGGGAAGGTTTGGACCCACTGGAAGGGACTTGTGTGTGGTCGTGTGAGGACCCGAGCGTGACCTTGAGACAGCCTGCTGGGTACAAAGGTGATGGGGATGCAGGGCCAGCGCGTCAGTGTGGCCACTCAGCTCTCCTCCCTCCAGGCAGCCCATCCCTGGGTTGAGCCAGGCTCATCTCGTTAGGGAAGGAGCGAAGGAGTGGGCCAGAGACCTGAGCTTAGAGCTTGTTTGTTTCCCTGGCCTTAAGAGTGGGTGTCTGAATGTGTGTGACCCAGACAAGTGTAGAAATTGGAGAAAGTGTCGAAGAAGAGGACTGAAACGCAGAGCCTAGGAAGCTGTCTGAAGAGGGGTGTTCGAAAGCCATTGTGTTTTAGGGCATGTGTGTCTAGGATGTTGTGGGTTCGACTTGTGACATTACATTCTGAGTTTGGTTTTGCCCATTTTTTCTAGCTACTCTTTCTACTTTCTATCTGTGTGCCAACATGGCCTCACCCCAGGCGTAATACCAGGGCAGGCAGGCTGCCCTCCTCCTCAACCCAGTAATGTCTGGAAATCCCTGGCCATCCCCAGCCTAGGCAGGGCCTATAGACCCTGAAAAGAGGCCCAGAGACACCTGGGTGCCCAGGTGCTACAGGGCGGCCCACGCAGCCATGAGGACCCCAGGTTTGGCACAGGTACAGGGGCTGGAGGTGAGGTAGACAGGAACAGACTTGGGCGTGTTGCTGTTTTTTATGGGTGAGGTGCCCTGGAACGTGAGATTAAGGGAGGAGTCTTTTCAGTTTCTGAGATGCTGGTGCTGAGATGGAGTCCAAAGTAACTCTTCATGCCCTGGCTACTGGGGCCAGGTCCTCACCCCGGAGGTCATCTCTGAGGTCAGGTCACACCAGCCTGTGGAGCAGCTTCCCATGCCTGAGCCTCTTTCTTCCCTCCGCAATGAACAAAGGGTGGAAGCTTCATCCATATCAAGAATCTTCCTGTGTACTTTGCCTGCCCCCCCTTCCTTTTTGTTCTTGAGATTGGTATCTAACTCTGTCAGTTCTACCTGTTGGCCACCTGGAAGGACCACAGCCCTGTTTTCAGCCCGTGCCTCCTTTCAGCCATGGCTGAGATGATGAGAATCTACCTCTATCCCAGTACTTAATCAGGGAGCCACGCACCAGGTATCAACTTGGTGTCTCATACTACTATCTCATTTAACCAATCTAAATGTGGAAATAAAAGGAATGTGCCCATGTAACAGATGGGAAAATTGAGGCTCTAATGGATGGAAAACTTCCCCAGGGTTTCACCACTGTTACATCGTAAAGCCTGGTCCCAGCGTTTCCTGTACAGTTTCCTCCATCCTGTCTTCACAACGCTTATTTCCTCTCTTCCCTTTCTTGTTCTTTGTCGTCAAGCGCATTTCCATTTCTCCATTCCCAGCTCTTCTGGGTTCTCCTCCTGGCCGTCTTCCTTCCTCTCATCTCCCCAGACATCACTTCCTCTGCTTCCTCAGGCCCCCTGACCCCCACCCCGACAACTGGTTTTAGAAGTAGGCACACTGTACTTGAAGGACAGAAATGACCTCATGTTGCCACCACAGATGAGCGAGAAGCAGTGCAGAAGAAAACCTTCACCAAGTGGGTGAACTCACACCTGGCCCGGGTGACCTGCCGGGTGGGAGACCTGTACAGCGACCTGCGGGACGGGCGCAACCTCCTGAGGCTCCTGGAGGTGCTGTCAGGAGAGACACTGGTGAGCACCTGTCACGGAGGGAGGAGGGAGCCCCAGGGACCAAAAGGGGGAAAGCCACAAGAGGGGCAGAACACAGCAGCCCCTCTGCCCAGAGGATGGGCTCATTCGGAGCGGCTTTGCCGGGTGGATTACGTGGGCGCCCTGCTTTGCAGAGACAGGAACAGTGGCCCCATTGAAAACATTTCTTTTCCCGCTCGCTCTGGGTGCAATTAATTCCCTTGGGAATCTTAATCTGGCCAAGCCTCATCTGTAACCCCAGCCTGGGCTCCATGACCTTCAGCCTGGTCCTGGGGCTGTCCTCATGTTCCTGAAGGAGAGCACTGGGAAGGCTGGGGAAGAAGAAGGAAACCTAGGAGCCCGTGTGTCACTTGTCACTATACTCCCCCCTGTCCCCCAACAGCCAAAACCAACTAAGGGCCGCATGCGAATCCACTGCCTGGAGAATGTGGACAAGGCCCTGCAGTTTCTGAAGGAGCAGAAGGTACACCTGGAAAACATGGGTTCCCACGACATCGTAGACGGGAACCACCGTCTGACTCTTGGGCTGGTCTGGACCATCATCCTTCGATTCCAGGTACTGTCAGCACTAACCAGGGTGTGGACCATGCACTGGTTCTGCACCACAGTTCCTGCTGGCCTGTGATAGACAAATACAAAAATAGAAGTCTGGCACCAGTGGCTCACCCCTGTAAACCTAGCTTGTCAGGAAGCTGAGACCTAAGGATCACAGTTTGAAGCCAGCCTGGGCAGGAAAGACTGTAAGACTCATATCTCCAATAAACTCCCCCCAAGGAAGCTGGAAGTAGAGCTGTGGCTCAAGTGGTAAGAGCACTGGTCTTGAGCAAGAGAAGTTCAGGGATGGTGCCCAGGCCCTGAGTTCAAGCCCCAGGATTTGTAGGGAAAAAACAAAAAACAAGCATCTGTCTGGGTGCCAGTGGCTCACACCTGTCATTCTAGCTACACCAGAGGCTGAGATCTGAGGATCACAGTTCAAAGCCAGCTCAGGCAGGAAAGTCCATGAGACTCTTTTTTTTTTTTTTTTTTGGGTCCGGTCATGGGGCTTGAACTCTGGGCTTGGGCGCTGTTCTTCAGCTCTTCAGCCCAAGGCTAGCGCTCTACCACTTGAGCCACAGCGCCAACTTCCGGCTTTTTTTCTATTTGCTTATGTGGTGCTGAGGAATCGAACCCAGGGCCTCAGGCGTGCAAGGCAAGCGCTCTACCACTGAGCCACCTTCCCAGCCCTCCATGAGACTCTTATCTCCAATAAACCACTCAGAAAGCCAGAAGTGGTGCTGTGGCTCAAGTGGTAGAGCGCTAGCATTGAGCTGAAGAGCTGAGGGAGAGCGCCCAGGCTGAGTTCAAGCCCCACAACGGACCAAAAAAAAAAAATCCATATCTCACACCTTATAGAGCAGTTCTCCATACACTCAGTGAGGCAGCTAGCCTCGCTCCACAGGGCAGAGAACTGTTTGGTGTTGGCAAAGTTCCCTGGAGTCTATTTTGGGTGCTAGTCTTGTGTATTAAGGACCCCAGCTTGGTCCATGAGGAACTGGAAGTTTTATAAATGGTCCTTCACTGCATAGAGTTTTAGAAGTCCAAGGGAGGCCTGGTCACCCCCTCTGTTATGCTTCTGGGACCCACCTCAGCTGTCTTGCTGGCCCCCCCATCCTTCCTGCTTGGCCTCCCTGTCCCTTTCAGTCCTAAGCAGAGTTCCTTGTGCCTCACCCCTGAAAGCCATGCAGAACATAGTCTCTCATCCACCTGCATTCCCCACCTGGAGGAACCGGCTCCCTGCACTCTCGGGCACTTCCACACTGCAGTCCCACCTCAAATTCCTCGGACCCAATGATTCGTGTTACGAGTCTAGGTTGAAGGGAGCCCAGGCTCTGTCCCTTCACCCCTTCAAGAGTGATCTCAAGCGTCATTTCCTTCCATTTCTCTCTGAGTGCCTCTGATAACACCAAGAGCTCCTGTCCAGGGAATGAGGTACACTCCCTTGCTTCCTTCCTTAGATCCAAGACATCAGTGTGGAAACAGAAGACAACAAGGAGAAGAAGTCAGCCAAAGATGCCCTGCTGCTGTGGTGCCAGATGAAGACGGCAGGGTGAGGAAGCCGGGGGCGTGGCCGTGGGGTGGGCCACACCTAAGCCACACAGTAGATGAAGGACAGCCTCCAGAGACCATGTCCTGCACAGACTGGGGCTCAACCCCACTCACCATTATTTTCTGGTCTCTGTTTATAGATACCCCAATGTCAACGTGCACAACTTCACCACCAGCTGGAGAGATGGACTGGCCTTCAACGCCATTGTGCACAAACACCGGTGAGAAGACAGTTAGCAGACATGTGGGTTAGTGGCCCAGGGGTGCGGGCGCACCCAGAAGCCAGGAGAAGAGCCGTAAGGAATGTGGGGGCACTGTGCTGCACAGAGGACTTAGGGAAGCTAGGGATGGGAGCAATGGGGGAAGGCTTGGGGTGTACCCTTCCAAAAAATAATTTTTGAGTTGGAGGCAGGGATAAAGGTAGGAGTGAATTTACTTCTTTGGGATCTCAAGTACTTTTGGTGCCTTCTGGCTTCTCCCCTCCAGGCCAGATCTGCTGGATTTTGAGTCCCTGAAGAAGTGCAATGCCCACTACAATCTGCAAAATGCTTTCAATCTGGCTGAAAAGGAGCTGGGCCTCACAAAGCTGCTGGACCCTGAAGGTAGGCCGGAGCTCTGCAAAACAAGGGTAGGCAGACGGAAGGCAGACTGGGGCTGCTGGGAGCTGGGAGGTGTGGATGGAGAACACCTGCCTATGGTTATAGGGGTTTTTAGGGGGAGGGAATGATGAAAATACTCTGGAACTGGGTAATAGTGATGGTTGTGAATGTAACAAAAAACCCACTGAAGTATATGTTAATAACAGGAAATTTTCTTTTTTGCATCAGTATTCTCACTTAACTGTTTTTTGCTAGTTAATTGAAGATAATTTCCTGCCTGGGATGGTTTTGAACCACAATTCTCATACCTTAGCCTCTTGAGTAGCTAGGATTACATGGGTGAGCCACCAGTGCCTAGCTTAAAAATATGAATTTTTAGGTAGGTATGGTGGTTCATGATTGTAATACTACTCAGGTAGAAGCAGAAGGATTACAAGTTCAAAGCCATCCTGGGCTACATAATGAGACCCTAGAAAAAGAGAGAGAGAGACAGAGAAACACAGACAGACAGACAGAGAGAGGAGGGGGGAGGGAGGGAGAGAGAAAGAGGGAATGGGGGAAGAGGAGAGAAGGAGAAAAGCAGAGAGAAAGAGATAAAACACCAGGAATAGTGGTTCATCCCTGTAAGCTGAGCTCCTCAGGAGGTTGAGGTAGATCATGGAGCAAGGCCAGCCTGGGCCAAAAGTTCCAGGACTCTTTCTCAACTAATAGTTGAGTGTGATGATGCTCACCTGTCATCTCAGCTATGGCGGGAAGCAGAAAGTAGGTACAGGCCCAGACAAAAAGTGAGATCCTATCTCAACCAGTGGGGGGAAAAAGGGCTGGAGGTGTGGCTCAAGTGATATAGCACCTGCCTAGCAAGCAAGAGGCTGAATTCCAACCCAAGTACCATAAAAAAGAAAAAAGGAAGGGAAAGGAAGAAAAAAGTATATAGGAAGATGGCTCTGGGTTCTATCCTAGCCCCATCCCAGAGCCAGCTTTGTGACTTATAGCCAGTCTGTTTGCCTCTCTGTGCCTCAGTTTCCTCAAGTTTAAAATAAGAGGACTAGTTCGAGGACCTTACTTCTAAACTACTAGGGCTCTGAAGTAAAACTACCTAACTTTGAGATCCGAGCATTTGTCCTCAGCCAGCGTCCCGGCCCTTACTGTGTACCTGGCACTGCACAGCATATGACATGCTTTAATTAATTGAGTCCTTACAAACCCCTCTAATCAGAACCATTATTATCCTTAGTTTATGGAAGAGAAGGCAGGGCTTATAAGGGTCAATTGATGGGCTGGGAAGGTGGCTCAGTGGTAGAGCGCTTGCCTTGCATGCATGAGGCCTTGGGTTTGATTCCTCAGTACCACATGAGCAGAAAAAAAAAGCCAGAAGTGGTGCTGTGGCTCAAGTGGTAGAGTGCTAGCCTTGAGCTGAAGGGCTGAGAGACAGCGCCCAGGCCCAGAGTTCAGGCCCCACGACTGGACCGGAAAAAAAAAACCAAAAAGGTCAATTGATTTGCCCAAGGTCACACAGTTGGCAGAGCTGGATTCTTGTTCAGCAAGCGTGGCTCCATAGTTCAGGTCCTCTTCACCTCTGCAGAGCAGAACAATTTGGGCTTAGCCAGTAAAGGAAAGGAGAGCTCTCACCTCGTTGTCAAGTGTGGATCTCAGTCACTTCCTCCTTTTCCTGGGCCACCCATAGTAACCCTATCTCCTGTGTCCAGGATGATAAGCTTCGGCTGTCTGGGACAAAAGTAGTGGTAGTGCAGCATTCCTAGACCAGACTTTAAGAAGCCTGGCTATGATGTAAAGTGTGAAGTAAAACTAAGTGTTCTGTCTGTGACGTGTGAGATGACGTTGGTAGCCGTGTGAATGACTTGGGATGCCTGTGGGAATGCTTTCAGAAGTGTGGAGGGGCTTCCAGTCTCATAGTACTACTTCCAGTAGGACCAAATCTGGTTCAATTCAGAAAACCCAGGGATTCCAAGTCATAGCCTTGGTCTAGTGATGGAGGCTGTCTGAGCTTGAAGGATGCGCTCCTGCTTGGACAGACCATGGCTGAGCTTTGGGATCAAGACTGGAAACAGCTCCATGGTGGTGCTGACAGCTGGCCTCCCTCCCTAGTCTGTTGCATCTGGAGTCAGTAGGCTTAGTTGTTTTGTTTTTTGTTTTTTTTATCGGTCACAGGGCTTGAACTCTGGGCCTGGGAGCTGTCTTTCAGCTCTTCAGCTCAAGGCAAGCGCTCTACCACTTGAGCCCACAGCACCACTTCCAGTAGGCTTAGTTTGTCCCTGCTGTCCCACTGTCCCTGAAGCTGTCAACTTAGGTTTCTGTAAGTCTGTGACCCATCTCCAAATGGACAGACTGTTTCTTGACTTGCTTTTTGCTGTCCCCCCTCTCTCCTCTCCAAACAAGTTTGTCCACTAGGTATACTCAGCCAAAGCCTCCTAGGCTTCTAGGTTTTATTCTCAGCTTGGGAGGCCCTTCTCATGTCTAGGAGAAAGAAAAACAAAAGGGGAGCTTGGTTTTAGGCCCCTTTAGTGGAAATGGTTGAGCTGTGACTTGGCTCTGAAGAGGGCCAGAAAAAAATACCAGCCTTAAAGGGCTGGGATCCTGGGTATGCAGGAAGTGATTCGGGTTTTGGGCCTACTGCTGGGACGCGCATTTCTGGTGTCTGCCTGACCCGAGCGGTCCTTTTCTTCAGATGTGAATGTGGACCAACCAGATGAGAAATCCATCATTACATACGTGGCTACCTACTACCACTATTTCTCCAAGATGAAGGCCTTGGCTGTAGAAGGCAAAAGAATTGGCAAGGTAATCCCTCCTCCCCCTCCCCGCCATACACACACTGTGATGCAGTAGGTGGAAAGGGTGGAGGGGGCAGGGCCCAGGTCTTACTCCTGTAAAGCAGAGGCCAAGGTAGAGCTAGATGCAGGACCGGGCAGTTCACCAAGCCTCCCATCTCCTGTCTCCCAGGTGCTGGACCACGCCATGGAGGCAGAACGCCTAGTGGAAAAGTATGAGTCCCTGGCCTCAGAACTGCTGCAGTGGATTGAGCAAACCATTGTGACCCTCAATGACCGGCAGCTGGCTAACTCTCTCAGTGGGGTCCAGAACCAGCTTCAGTCCTTCAATTCCTACCGCACAGTGGAGAAGCCACCCAAGTAGGTGCCCCTGGGTTTCACCCTGCTGGGACATGCCTGCCCTGAGCCGGGCTCACATAAAGGGAAGCCAAAATTAGGGCGGCCTTTTGGGGAGGATTATTTGGCAGTGCGTAAGTGCTTCAGAGGTGCATTTACCCCAGCTCAAAGCACTGCAGACAAACATAGTTGGTCCAAAACACATTTTAAATGACTGAAGCTGTTTTTAAAAAGTACACTGTGGAAAGGTTTGCTCGGGTGTGCCGAGTCATTGCAGTCCATCAGGTGAGACTACTAGCCCCCCTGTCTTGTGTCTTAGCACCCAGTCCTCCCACGGGAACAGGCAGAGCATAGCCAGCCTTGGGAGGATGGTTGGGAACGTGAGCCTTGCAGAGGTGGCTTTTGTTGTTTTTTTTTTAAATCATTTATATATTTTAGCAATTATCTGATTTTACATGTGGACTTGCTGTTTTCAGTTTTGTTTTGTTTTTTTGTCAGTTGTGGGGCCTGAACTCTGGGCCTGGGCGCTGTCCCTCAGCTCTTCAGCTCAAGGCTAGCGCTCTACCACTTGAGCCACAGTGCCAATTCCGGCTTTTTCTGCTTATGTAGTGCTGAAGAATCAAACCCAGGGCCTCAAGCTTGTGAGGCAAGCACTCTACCACTGAGCTACCTTCCCAGTTCTGTATAGCACATGCTAAAGCTTTTGTTGTTACTGTTGATATTTTTTGGGGGTGGGGTGTGTTCTTTTGTGCCAAGAAGTAAGCTTGGATTCAGGGCCTCCAGTTCTGACTCAGTCTTTTGCTCAGGGATAGTGCTCCACCTCTTGAGGCACACCCCTATTTCTGGCTTTTTTTGGTGGCTAGTTGGAGATAAGAGTCCCATGGATTTGTCTGCCCAGGCTGGCTTTGAACCTCAATTCTCAGATCTAACCTCCTGAATAGCTAGGATTAAAGATGTGAGCTTGTGCCTGCCTGCCTGCCCTCCTTCCTTCCTTCCTTCCTTCCTTCCTTCCTTCCTTCCTTCTTTCCTTCCTTCTTTCCTTCTTTCCTCCCTCCCTCCTTCTCTTCTTTTTTTTTTGTCAGCTGTAGGGCTTGAGCTTTTGCTCAAGGCTAGTGCTCTACCACTTTGAGCTGTCGCACCATTTCTGGTTTTCTGGTAGTTGATTGGAGATAAGTATCAGGGACTTTCCTGCTTGGGCTGGCTTTGATCCTGTCTCAGATCTCAGCCTCCTGAGTAGCTAGGATTACAGGCATGAGCCACCAGTGCTTGGCTTTCTAATCATTGAGTTCTTTTGGAGTTATGTGTCAGCTCCAGAACTAAATATTAATCCAGAAAACAACTATTCTCATATAGTACAGGGAAATGATTTGAGCTGTGTCCTTTGCCTGAATATTCAACAAAGATGTAGCCAGCTTCAAGGATGTTCATCAACGTGAGCTTCATGAAAGAAAATGAGTCATGAGACACTACAGAAAATAGTATCAAAGAAATGCTTTTATTGACATGAAAAGTTATGTGAAAAATAATTGGAGAAACATGCTCAAAGTGTTCTTTGTGGGCCACAGAGAAGAAAATGCTTAGAGCCAAGAGTTCAAATCCTAGCTCTAATATTTAACAGGTTTGAATATTGGGCAACTTATTTAACCTTCCTATGCCTCAATTTTCTCAACCAGAAAATGAGGGATACTCAGAGAGTGAGTGCTGGCCCAACTCACAGCAAGGGAGTTCTTGATGCGTTAGAAGTGGCTATGCTGGCACCCAGCCGCAGTCAACACTGTGCACAAGGGCTCCTGTGGTTGTCATTTCTCTGTGGTTTTTAATTACATTGAAATGATGTTCTTTGGGTTTGCCAGTATTTTCTGGGTTGCTTGCAAAGACTATGTATTGGTTTTGTGAGAAGAAAAGGACACAGGACACTCTGTATTGTAAAGTCAACTTCCTGGGCCCCTGTGGCCATTGCCTCTGATGCTAACTTGCCCCCCCTTCCCCCGCCCACCTCAGGTTCACCGAGAAGGGGAATTTGGAGGTGCTGCTCTTCACCATCCAGAGCAAACTGCGGGCCAACAACCAGAAGGTCTACACGCCCCGAGAGGGTCGGCTCATCTCCGACATCAATAAGGTCTGTGACCTGCCATGCTGTCCCACAGATGACAGCCCTGGCCCGGACACCTTTCATATCTGCCCTAACCTAGAGTCCTTGTCACCTCCCCTGAGCCCCACTATGGTTACTAGATTCTCCATCCCACTGCAGCCACCCCTGTTGGGACTCTGGTGTCACTCCTTTCCGTTCTCATTCTTCATACAGGTTCACATGAGAAATCACGCTCCACACAGCCCCAACTCTCTCTATAAGTTTTCACAAGTATTTTATAAGCATCATAACAAAATAAGAATCTCCCATAGTCCTGCCACTGCCATCTTGGCCCTTGTCCAGAAGCAAACGTGTTTCTTACATGGCTGCAGGCCACGCCCAGCACCTCTCATTCCTGTAAAAGCCTTACTGACTGCAGTCAGACCCATGCTAGACCCCGCCACCTGGGGACTTTGCTGGGCCTTAGCTCTGCTGACCCTCCTTCCCGACCCTGTCTGCTCCTCTTGTCTGCACTGCACAGGCCTGGGAGCGGCTGGAGAAAGCTGAGCATGAGCGTGAGCTGGCCCTGCGCACAGAGCTGATCCGCCAGGAGAAGCTGGAGCAGCTGGCCGCGCGCTTCGATCGCAAGGCCGCCATGCGGGAGACCTGGCTCAGCGAGAACCAGCGCCTTGTGTCCCAGGTAGGATGCAAGGGGGAAGAAATAGACTGCAGGGTGGAGAGGAGCTGAAACACCACATCCATCACCTCCCCTCCTGGCCTCTGCCATAGGACAACTTTGGGCTGGAGCTGGCTGCCGTGGAGGCAGCGGTGCGGAAGCATGAAGCCATCGAGACAGACATTGTGGCCTACAGTGGCCGGGTGCAGGCCGTGGACGCGGTGGCCGCAGAGCTGGCAGCTGAGCGCTATCACGACATCAAGCGCATCTCTGCTCGGCAGCACAACGTGGCCAGGCTCTGGGACTTCCTGCGGCAGATGGTGGCCGCCCGGCGGGAACGGCTTCTCCTCAACCTGGAGCTGCAGAAGGTGTTTCAGGACCTGCTCTACCTCATGGACTGGATGGCAGAGATGAAGGTAGTTGGCCATCCCTGGTGGGGCTCAGGTGGGCGGGAGTCCTGGGGGTATTGCTACAGTGCCTTAACTCCACCACTGAGCCCAGCTCTGTAGAGCACATGCCAGTGCAGGGGGAGGACATCCCAGTTCTAATAAAACATGGGGCTCAGGGAGACTAGACTTAAGTGTGGTATGGGATGAGAAAAAAGACTATAGCTATGTGACGCCGTGGAAAGAGATGAAGGAGGGAGCAGAGCCAGGTACGGTGGCTCAGGCCTGTCATCCCTAGCACTTGGGAGGTTGAGGCTAGCGGATGACGAGTTCAAAGCCAGCCTAGGCTACATAGCAAGAGCCTGCCCATAAAAAAGTGATAGAAGGAGTGAGATTGATTGGAATATGTTGTAAACATGTGTGCAAAGGTAACTGTGAAATCCCCCGGAATAACTAATATGAGATAGATCAACTCAAAACTGGGACTGGAGATACAGCCCAGTGATAGAGTACTTGCCTAACATGCTCAAGCCCCTAGGATCTCGGGGAGTAAAGGGGGAGCTGCCAGTTGACTTAGTGCATTATAGGCCTGGTCAAGGAGTTTGGATTTTTTTTCCTAAGTAACACAGAGCATTTGAGGCGCTCAGGAGGTTTTGGGGAAGGGAGAGATAGGATTCTGTCTTCCGTTTTGAGAAGTAACTTGGATACATTGCGCAGAAGGCCTGAGTGGCTGCACACAGAGCAGTGAGGCGCAGCTGCAGTTTACTAGGGAAGAGCTGAGTGCAGGTCTGGGAGACACAGTGAAGGGTGCTGGGGTGCTGCGGCAGAGCTGTGACCACAGGAGATGCCTGGGATTCTAGGGCTGAGACGATGAGTCACAGCAGAGATGCTGGGAGCATGATTTAGTTGGAAAGTTGTTCCATGCAGGAGAGGATGCTGAGGATAAGGAGCCAGGCGCTGGGGCAGAACTTGGACATCTTGTGTTTGTGTGTGTGTGTGTGTGTGTGAGAGAGAGAGAGAGAGAGAGAGAGAGAGAGAGAGAGAGAGAGCGCAGGCATGCTCACTAGGGTGCAACACTGCGGTTGTCTTAAGGGGATGGAAGGAAGAGGGAGTGAGATTGGCAAGTGCACCTAGTTAGGAGTTGGGCACAAGCTTGCTGTGTACGCCTGGCAGGGCCGGCTGCAGTCTCAGGACCTGGGCAAGCACCTGGCCGGAGTAGAGGACCTGCTGCAGCTGCATGAGCTGGTGGAAGCAGACATTGCCGTGCAGGCTGAGAGGGTGCGGGCCGTCAGTGCCTCTGCCCTGCGCTTCTGCGACCCTGGGAAAGGTGAAAATGGGAAGGCAGAGGCCTTGGGCAGGGAAACCTGGAGACAGGAGAGCCTGTGGGTGGATGAGTGATGACAGCTAGAGCCAGGGAGGGAAGTCTACCAGGGCAGGTAAGGGGGTTCCTCACTGGGGTGGGGAACAAGCAGAGCTCTTGATCTCTGGCCTGACTTTTCCAGAATACAGACCATGTGACCCACAGCTGGTGTCGGAGCGGGTAGCCAACCTGGAGCAGAGCTATGAGGCCCTGTGTGAGCTGGCAGCAGCCCGACGGGCCCGCCTGGAGGAGTCGCGGCGCCTGTGGCGGTTCCTCTGGGAGGTGGGCGAGACGGAGGCCTGGGTGCGGGAGCAGCAGCACCTCCTGGCCTCGGCCGACACAGGTCGGGACCTGACAGGTGCCCTCCGCCTGCTCAACAAGCACACAGCTCTGCGTGGGGAGATGAGCGGCCGGCTGGGGCCCCTGAAGCTCACTCTGGAGCAAGGCCAGCAGCTGGTTGCCGAGGGCCACCCTGGAGCCAGCCAGGCTGCTGCCCGCGCAGCCGAGCTCCAGGCTCAGTGGGAACGGCTGGAGGCCCTGGCCGAGGAGCGTGCCCAGCGGCTGGCACAGGCTGCCAGCCTCTACCAGTTCCAGGCAGATGCAAACGACATGGAGGCCTGGTTGGTGGATGCATTGCGCCTGGTTTCCAGCCCCGAGCTAGGGCACGATGAGTTCTCCACACAGGCCCTGGCCAGGCAGCACCGGGCCTTGGAAGAGGAGATCCGAGGCCACCGGCCCACCCTGGATGCCTTGAGGGAGCAGGCCGCAGCCCTGCCGCCCGCACTGAGCCACACAGCTGAGGTGCAGGGCAGAGTGCCTGCTCTGGAGCAGCACTACGAGGAGCTGCAGGCCCGGGCGGGTGAGCGGGCGCGGGCCCTGGAGGCCGCCCTGGCACTCTACACTATGCTCAGCGAGGCGGGAGCCTGTGGGCTCTGGGTGGAGGAGAAGGAGCAGTGGCTCAACGGCATGGCCCTGCCTGAGCGCCTGGAGGACCTGGAGGTGGTGCAGCAGAGGTAAGACCTGAGAGCTCCCACAGGGCGCAGTGCCTGGGAGCTGAGGCGGGACGGGGGCTGCCTGCTCCCACTGTCAGCTGCCTACTACGCGCCTTGAGCCTTAACTACAGCCCTCTGAGTCAGTCTCAATGATTGCGTTTAGGATTTTGTTTTGTGATGGTAAGGAGGTTTGAACCTAGGGTCTTGAGCCTAAGCAGGTTTTTGACCACTTTAGCCATGCCCCAAGCATTGTGCTTTTTTTTCTGGGGAATTCAGGACCTTATGCTCACTCAGCTTGTTTGGCTGACACTTTACCACTTGAGTCATGCTCCAGCACTGCTTTGTGCTGGTTACTTTGAAAACAGAATCTCATGGACTTTTCTGCCCAGGCTGGTTTCAAACTGTAATCCTCCAGAGCTCAGCCTCTCCTGAGTAGTTAGGATTATCAAGGTGAAACACTGGTGCCTGGCTAACTCCCTGCCTTTAGTTTTATTTAAAATGTTGGACATAGTCAAAAGTAGAGGCTGTGTCATGACAAGATCTATGCACCCATCACCGAGATTCCATTATTGTCAGTATATTGCTCTATTTGATTCATTTCCTTTCTAAAAAGCAAGTCCCCATGGGCTGGGAAGGTGGCTCAGTGGTAGAGTGCTTGCCTCACATGAAGCCCTGGGTTTGATTCCTCCATACTGCATAAGCAGAAAAAGCTAGAAGTGGCTCTGTGGCTCAAGTGGTAGAGCGCTAGCCTTCAGCTGAAGAGCTGGGGGACAGCGCCCAGGCGCAGAGTTCAGGCCCCATGACTGACAAAACAAAACAAAACAAACAAACAAAAAAACGAGTCCCCAGTGTTATCATTTCACTTTTGTATTTCCCAGTAGCCCCTTTAAAAAAGATGAAGTAGCCAGGCGTTGGTGGCTCACATCTGTAATCCTAACTACTCTGGAGGTTAAGATCTGAAGATTGCAGTTCAAAGCTAGCCTGGGCTGAAAAGCCCCCATGAGACTTTTATCTCCAATTAACTACCAAAAAAAAAAAAAACCAGAAGTGGTGCTATGGCTCAAAGTGGTACAGTGCCAGCCTTGAGCAAAATTGCTTAGAGATAGCGCCCAGGCCCCACAACAAAAAAAAGAAAAGAGAAATCCTAGCAACAACATTGCTTTTTAATTGTGGATTGAGTTAAAGTAGCTGAGACTTTGAAATTACCAATGTTTTTAGGCAAACGTACTGATTAATCTCTCATGCAATTGCATTATTCATGAAATAATAAATATTGAAGTAATTTAGAAAGTACATTTTTCTAACAGCACCTCAATACCATTATCAAATACAACAAAACTACCAATTCCTTGGTATCACGTACTACTGGTCCTTAATCAAATTTCTTCATGGTTCTAAATGTATTCTAAATGTGTCATTGCATTTTTTATTTTTTATTTTTTGTCTGTGGTGGGGCTTGAACTCTGGGCTTGGGTGCTATCCCTGCACTCTCCAGCTCAAGGCGAGCGCTCAACCACTTGAGCTACAGCGCCACTTCCGGTTTTCTGGTGGTTTATTGGAGATAAGAGTCTCATGGACTTTTCTGCCCGGGCTGGCTTTGAACTGTGATCCTCAGATCTCAGCCTCCTGAGTAGCTAGGATTACAGGTGTGAGCCACCAGCGCTGGCCATTGCATTTTTTTTTGTTTGTTTGTTTGCAAGATATCCTATGTCAGAGCTTGACAAACTACAACCCTTGGGGCTAGCTGTGATACAATAAAGCTTTGTTGGAGCAGAGCGATGCCTGCTCATGGGCCTAACTTCTGTGCATGTCTACCCCACACTGCAGAACTGAGGAGATATGACAGGCTGGGGCTGAAAAACATATCACCATGTTTTATAGAAAGTGTTGGAATGGTGTGTGTGTGTGCATGTGTGTGTGCGTGTGTGTGTGTGTATGTGTGTGTGTGTTGGTGCCAGTACTGGAGCTTGAACTCAGGGCCTGGGCACTGTCCCTTAGCTTTTTCACTTAAGGCTAGCACTCTGCCACTTGAGCCACAGCTTCACTTCCAGCTTTTTGGTGGTTAGTTGGAGATAAGAGTCTCTCAGCCGCCGGCGCTGGTGGCTCACTCCTGTAATCCTAGCTACTCAGGAGGCTGAGATCTGAGGATCGTGGTTCAATGCCAGTCTGGGCAAGAGAGACCGTGAGACTGCTAGCTCCAATAAACCACCAGAAAACCGGAAGTGGCGCTGTAGCTCAAGTGGTAGAGCGCTTGCCTTGAGCTGAAGAGCTGAGGGACAGCGCCCAGGCCCAGAGTTCAAGCCCCACGGCCGACCAAAAAAAAAAAAAAAGAGTCTCTCCGCCTTGTGGGTAGCTAGGCTTCCAGGCTTAAGCCATGTTTGTAGACCCTCCCCTATTAGAATGTCAGCTGTCCCTGGAAGAAGGCATGTTTTACAACTTTATCAATCAGACACATTTTTTATTACCCCTTCCTTTGCTTATTGTCTGAGGATGGGGCCTGGGCAGCTGGCTAAGGGGGAGCCCCAGGAGGAGCAGCAAGGTCCTGGTAAAGGTGAGGGTCCTGGCAATGCCAGGGTGGAGTTGGGCTTGTGCAGTTCCTGACCTTTGACCTTCTGAGCTTCCCTAGGAGTAGTTTTCCTCCTAGAATTGGGAGGGTTGGAGGTTCCTCTCCTGTAGGCCAAGAAGGGCAGAGAGGCCAGGACAGAAGCCTCGTGCTGATGGAGTGGTATTCCTCTGGGTGTCTCTAAAGGACGAGCCTGGTGCCTCACTGCCTCTCTCTGCTCAAGCCCTGCTCTCTTATCCCCACCCAGGTTCGAGACCCTGGAGCCTGAAATGAATGCCCTGGCTGCGAGAATTACTGCGGTGAATGACATTGCTGAGCAGTTGCTACAGGCCAACCCACCAGGCAAGGAGCGCATTGTCAACACCCAGGAGCAGCTCAATCACAGGTGGGCTTTGAGGGATGGGGCAGCCCGGGCACCTGAGAAAGACTGCCGCAGCCGGGGATGGCAACTGGAAGAGTTCTGCAGGATGCAACGAGGGCTAGAAAGAAAGGAAGGGGATATGTTGGGAGAGAGAAAGCAATGAACGAGCGAAGTCAAGGTGGTCCAGTGAGACTGGAGACTGATAGGAAGCCATTCAGAAAAGGAGTCAGAAGTTCACACCTGTAATCAGGAAGCTCACAGTTCCAAAGTAGCCCAAGTTCAAGCCCCAGTACCTGCAAAAGTAAACATTAAAAATAAATAAATAAATAAACCACACAAGATTTGATCTCACTCTAAAAAAGGGCGGAGGTTTAGCTCTTTGGTAGGGCACCTGTGTAGGAAACATGAGGTCCTGGGTTCAAAACCAAGTACCATCAGAGAGAGAAGGGGAGGGTCAGGATGGAGGACAGCCTCTTTCCAAAAGCAGGTGGTTTATCTAAGACAGGGCAGTAGGAAAGGCGCTTCCAGATGTATGTGGCTAGGACCGGAAAGCGAGCAGCTCCAGATGCCAGAGCTGCCCTGGCCTTGCAGGTGGCGGCAGTTTCGGTCCCTGGCAGACGGCAAGAAGGCAGCTCTGACCTCCGCGCTGAGCATCCAGAACTATCACCTAGAGTGCACAGAGACCCAGGCCTGGATGCGAGAAAAGACCAAGGTCATCGAGTCCACACAGGGCCTGGGCAATGACCTGGCGGGGGTGCTGGCTCTGCAGCGGAAGCTGGCAGGCACCGAGCGAGATCTGGAGGCCATCGCTGCCCGCGTGGGTGAACTGACCAGAGAGGCAGATGCCTTAGCCGCTGGCCATCCAGCCCAAGCCTCTGCCATCAATGCAAGGCTTGGAGAGGTGCAGACGGGCTGGGAGGACCTGCGCGCCACCATGCGACGTCGAGAGGAGTCCCTGGGCGAAGCGCGGCGGCTGCAAGATTTCCTGCGCAGCTTGGATGACTTCCAGGCGTGGCTGGGCCGGACACAGACGGCTGTGGCCTCTGAGGAAGGGCCAGCCACGCTGCCCGAGGCCGAGGCCCTCCTGGCCCAACACGCAGCCCTGCGAGGAGAGGTGGAGCGGGCCCAGGGCGAGTATCATCGCCTGCGGGCCTTGGGCGAGGAGGTGACCCGAGACCAGGCCGATCCCCAGTGCCTCTTCCTCCGCCAGCGACTGGAGGCCCTGGGAACCGGCTGGGAGGAGCTGGGCCGCATGTGGGAGAGCAGACAAGGCCGGCTGGCCCAGGCCCACGGCTTCCAGGGGTTCCTGCGGGATGCTCGCCAGGCCGAGGGCGTGCTCAGCAGCCAGGTGAGAGTCCAGGAGGCGAGAGCCCTGGAAGAAGAGAAAAATGGGGAGGAAAATGAAGTAGTTGAGGAAGCGGCATGGCAGGCAGGGTGTCAGAAGGCTGGGAGTGATGAATTCAAATGTGTCTTACTCAACTCAACTGTAGAAGAAAGAAAAGACCTACCTAGTCGTATAACTATTTAAAAGAAATGAAACTAGAGCAGGATTTACACTGGTGAGGTCCCACAGCTCAGCTCCTTGGGCCTTCGTCAGAGGGGCCCCTTCAGAGCCCTCTGGCTATCTTGCCCATGCCCAGCCTGGCCCCTCCCTTTCAGACGTGTCTCTGGGTGGGCCCCTCGTGGGAGTGGGGTCTGTGTGCTTGAGAAGTGACCTGAGGCTTCCCTTCCTGCGCAGGAATATGTCCTGTCCCACACGGAGATGCCGGGGACGCTCCAGGCTGCAGACGCTGCCATCAAAAAGCTGGAGGACTTCATGAGCACCATGGAGGCCAGTGGAGAGCGTATCCGCGGCCTCTTGGAGGCCGGGCGCCAGCTGGTGTCCGAGGGCAACATCCACTCCGAGAAGATCCAGGAGAAGGCAGACTCCATCGAGAGGAGGTGCTGTGGAGATGTGGGCAGGAGGGCGGAGCAGGGGGATGGGGGTGCAGGCCAGGGGAATAAGTGAAGACAAAGATGGGCCTCAAAGATGGAGACGCGGCACAGGCCACAGCTGTCTGACATTTGGCAGGGACTTGGAGGCTGACCACAACACAGAAAAGGAAGATTGGGGTGCTTGGAGAGGGACTGCCCAGGGCCCCAGGAGAGCCTTCTTCACCCACATCAGGGCAAAATGGAGCCTAATAGAATGGCAGCCTGGAAAGTGGATTTCTGGAGTGTCCTGTGGGGCCCCCAAGGCACACCACCTGTATAAGATGAGGGCCTCTAAGCAAGTTCAAGAGTTATCAGTGGCCAGGCCAGTGGCTGGTTCATGTTCTAGGACAGCCGGGGTGGGGCTGGGGGGATGGAGTGGTGGGTAGGGGGGACGGAGGGGGGACGGAGGGGCGAGGAATACTCAAGATCCCAAATCAATTAACAAAAATATCAGAAAGTATAAATTGGAAAATGAAGTTCCAGCCCAGCCCAGCTGAGGGTATGCAGCTCAAGTGGTGGAGCACCAGATTCTGAGTTCCAACCCCACTACTGCCAAGAAAAAGAAAAGATCCATAATCCTCTCATATCAAAGTCAAGAAGAAAGGTTAACGTGGGGCTGTCATTGTAGGCACAGAAAGAACCAAGAGGCAGTACAGCAGCTTTTGGGCCGCCTTCGGGACAACCGAGAGCAGCAGCACTTCCTGCAAGACTGTCATGAGGTGAGGCTCTCGTTCTCTGGTGCCCTGGCAGCGTTGCCAGGCTGCCTTCCTGGCCGGCTCCCCCCTCCCCAGCACCAAGCTGGCCATGGATCAAGTGCCTTGGTGTCACCACAGCCCGGAGCAGTCTTCATGCTTTCTTCCCATCTTTCCCATCTTCCTCCTCTCTCACCTCTTCTCCCAAAACATCCCTCCCTCCTCCCTCACCCCCTGCATTATGCTCCACCCAGCTCAAACTCTGGATTGATGAGAAGATGCTAACGGCCCAGGATGTGTCCTATGATGAGGCCCGCAACCTGCACACCAAGTGGCAGAAGCACCAGGCGTTCATGGCTGAGCTGGCGGCCAACAAGGACTGGCTGGACAAGGTGGACAAGGTGAGCAAAGCAGCGAATGTGCATCTTTGGACTACCTCTGGCAGGCCTAGGCTGCCTGGGACATGGTTCTTTTGCATTAGAGAGATGGGACAGGACTTCAGAATGTGAAAAGGTACAATAGAGGAGGAAAAGGAGGAGGAGAAGTAGAAAGAGGAGGTGGTGGAGGTGGAGGAGGCAGCGGCAATTGAACCAAACTGGCTTTGATTAAACACTATAAGAGTTGCTATGTCTGAAGCAGAAGGACTCTCCTCAGCCAGGATCTAGGGCCAGATAGTAAATACTTCAGGCTTCGAGGGTCACAGAAGCTATTCGCTTCTGCTGTCATCATACAAAAGTAGCCATACAGAAGACATAAGGAGCATGACTGTCTCCCAGTAAAGCTTTACTTACAAAAGCAGGCTGTGGGCCCAGTCTGCCTTATCTGCCATGGTTGGCCATTGGGAGGACCAGCCTCCCATGGAGCTCTGGCTTCATTGCTGAGGGTAGATGAAACAGCCTTCGTACTCAGCCACTGTTCCTGAATACCTTTAGTGTGCCAGCGCACAACCAGTGCTGCGTGGAATAGCCAGAGACGCCTCCCTTCCTCGAAGGTCATGGTCGATGGCCAGAGGAGACCAGTGCATTTTTTTGTTAGTTTTGTCAGTCGAGGGGCCTGAACTCTGGGCCTGGGCGCTGTCCCTCAGCTCTTCAGCTCAAGGCTAGCGCTCTACCACTTGAGCCACAACGCTACTTCTGGCTTTTTCTGTGTATGTGGTGCTGAGGAATTGAACCCAGGGCTTCATGCATGCAAGACAAGCATTCTACCACTGAGCCACTTTCCCAGCCCCGACTAGTGGATTTCTGTGTGTTTCTATGTGTTCAGTAATGTTTACTGGTGCTATTTTAGTTCAAAGTGTCCTATTGGGTACTGAGTGGGGAGCAGAGGCGATGCCACCGCAGGCTACCGAGGAGAGGAACAGCACTGTAACCAGGCTTGCAAGTTGCTTCCACATGAACAGCTAAGGCAAATCCAGAGCAAATATGATGGGTACCATAAGACAGTCCATAAAGCCTGGGTAGAGAGGCTGTGGGGGACTCTGGAGGTCAGTCAACCCAGCAGGAGTGCAGAATGGTGAAGGGGTGCCATGGAAGCAGAGGGGTATGCTTTGAAGTGTTTGCAGCTGAAGGCTGGGAAACCACCAGACAGAGGCAACCGCTGGCACTCCATCCTGACAGCCAGTGGAAAATGCAGCATCTGGGCTTGTGTTCCCAGAGACAGACCTGAAGTCCAAGTTCGGGGCAGCCCGCTTTCAGGAGAGGTGACCCCCGGAGCTGCAGGAGTGGCACAGTCCAGGCAGGGAGCATCTGGGCTGCCATGTAGCTAAGTGGTAGTAGGTGTATGTTTAGCATGTCCAAGGCCCAGGTTCCAGCACAAAGAGGTGGAGGGAGGAAGGGAGAGAGGGAGGAGGGAAGGAAGGAAGGAAGGAAGGAAGGAAGGAA